ATGGTTGGAATTCTTTTTTTTTGATTTTTTTTATAAATTTTTTATAATATAAATGCATTTTTCACTTAGAAAAATAATAATAATTATACAAATTTCCTTTTTACACAATTTTTATTTTTATTTATTTAAAACCACATTTCATTTCATTTAATGGAAATAGCAAAAAAAAAAAACACAAAGGTGAAGTGAAGAGCAAAAAAAGGACGAGTGAAAAATGGCGGTGAATGTGTTTTGAATTATTAACAAGCAAAGGTAAAGGAGAGGTAAGCAATTGCGGTAACGTGTATACGTCCATTAGGCAGCCTGTCGACCGTGTTACTAGCACCCATAATAATAACTCCTTTGAAGGATTAATATGCTATAGTCAAAGGTATGCATATACAATAGTAGTATATGGGTTAGTTTAATAGAAATATTAAATAGTTGGTGCGTGTAAGGGGGTGAAGGAATTTCTATGTGAACTCAAGGGTAATGGGTGCACGTATTTCCCAACAAATAAAGAAATCAAATGTTATAAGTTGTTAAGTGTCTGACGTGTTTCGTGTAACGTGTAACGCGATTTTCAATTGAATCTGAATTAATACTGAAACGATGTAAGAATTCTAGTCATTGCCTCGCCCCCCTCCTATACACTTAAATAAACATTATGGAAGGGTCTTATGGCAAAGTCTAAATATTGTTAGCGTATAACTGATTGACCAATTCGTAAACGTAAATATGATCCTTTGCAGTTAAATGCATTTAAAGTGCATTTAAGAAATGCATAAGGAGCAAGGATACATGAAGAAATAAAAAGTTATAGGAAAATTGCTAGTTGAATGAAATCAATTGCATTTGCTTGTGAAAAGTTGCAATATTTAATGCGAAAATTATTGCAGTAAAACATTTTTTATGCATTAAGAAAAACATATAATAATAATACGTATGTAAAATAATATTTGATTGCAATATAATTTCTAATATTGGATTGTAGAAATTTTCTAATTGAAAATCAATGGAACATTTTGCACGTGTTAGCAATTTATAGCTTTGTTAAATATATTTAATATTTAAATTATTGAAAAGTAACGACAGAATCGAAGTAAAATAAGTACAGAATGGATAAACAATTTATTTAATTATATATAATTGCACTCTTTCAGCAATAAAAAAATATTTATCAGTTCTCAACAATTGCATTTTTTAAGTTATTTAAATTAAGCATAATTAATAAAAATAAATATGGTTTATTTTATTAACATTTTACCATATTAGATATTACTAGATAAGTTTACAAATGCGAATTAAAAAAAATCATGGATAAATTAATAATCCTTGCTATGCAAAGAGTATAAAGTATAATTGAGACAGAACAGTTAGGTTCATAAAAATTAGAATAATTCGTCCGTCACTTCTATATGGTTCTGTACCGTTTAGCAAGGCTTCAAACACTACTATTTGCCAGCTAGAAATGCATAAAGCCAGGCTCTGAGAAGACTTTTCAATGTTTCATGGTACATTAGGACGAATGATATCCTCATCAAGATTGATCAAGATAGATCCCATCAAAATATACATAAAGGATAGTGCCCTAAAGGATAGAGCCCTGAAATTATTTGCAAAAACTGACAGACTTTCCAACACCGCGTTATCAAATCTCAAAATGTTTACAGGCTCCTCGGGGAGGTATACAGATTTGAGGTCAATTATTGCTTAGTCTGATGAAGTGATAAACAATAATCTAGTCAAGATGTAAAGAGGGGTTTTGAAAATGCCTCGAGTTAAGAAAGTGTAAAAATGCTTAAGTGCACTGGCGCAAACAGCTTCAACATAATAATAAAAATGAGATTTGGTCTGGCATCTTGTTACCAGTATTAAATTGAAATATTATTATGGAGGAGAAGCTCATTGATTTCATACAAAAGAAATAAAGATAAAAAATATAATTTAAAAAAAAAACAAATTATAAAAAATGAAGAAAACACATATCAATAGTTGAGACAATTTTTTAGACGTTCTGATACTCTAAAGAATTATGGTTTTAAGACAAATATCTGCTGTGATCAACACTGGAAGAATCTAGTATTCAATCTCACTTTTTCTGTGAAATAGTTTCTATTACTTTTTAAGATATGAAAGTACGGATATAGACAAACTTTCCAAATTTTATTTTTTTAATTTTACTTAGGACTGAGAAATTCTACTCAGCAGAGCTAAAGAATTATATTTAGTAGAGCTAAAGAATTTTACTTCGTAGAGCCAAAATACTCTGCTTAGTAGAGCTAAAGATTTCTACTCAGCAGAGGTAAAGACTTTTACTCAGCAGAGCTAAAGAATTCTTCTCAGCAGAGTTAAAGAATTCTTCTCAGCAGAACTAAAGAATTCAAAATCGTATAAGGCAGTCCTATAAGATTCAACGGTGGGTTGAATCTTATAGGACTATATGTAATATATAAAAAATCTTTCATAAAAAATCTAATGATTAATATAAAAACTAAATTAGTTTTTTATTTCAAAATTTGCTAAGCTCTAATATTAGAAATAGAGAATTTCTAAAAAATATTGAAAATATTTTTTTTTTAGATCAGTTAATTTTATAAATTAATTTGACAAAAAAATTAATTAAAGTGCATAATAAATTTATTTTTATTACCATTTACCAACACTGAATTGTGAACTCCATTGATTGAAAGTGACCAACACAGTTCATAAAGTTCAAAAAAATCAAATCAATATTTACTTAGCAACTTTACGATAAAACTTAAATATTTGCAGGGCAATCATATGTGTGGGTAGTTGATATATGCTCAGGCATCAATACAACTTATTGCTGTTATTTATAAAATATTCAAATTTTTTTCCTATTTTTCATATTAAAGTATTTCAAAACAAACTTTTGGACTCTATAATGGCTAATTGTATCGAAATGAAACTGCAATTTTAAGCAATGAAACCAATAATTATATGCCCATAAATTTCATGATAAAAACCTTTAAAATGCATGAAGGATGAAATAATTATTCCTTAAGTTATATTTAAAATAAATTATATATAATTGAGGACAAATGCATAAAGTCAAATGTATGTCAAGTAAAAAATTCTGCAATCGGTAATGCTCTGAGTTCTAATTAATATTTAAAACGATTTTTAATATGTATTTCAAAGTATGAATGATTATATAAAATTCAATAAATCATGATAAGAGAATCATAGAATGGACAAAAAAAAATTGATCTCCATCGTGACAATATACCCTTTCGTACAACGCAAAAAATCATCCCTGAAAACAACGTATGAGTTGCTGCAACAACGAACTTACCTATTAGCCTAGTTGTCTTTAACTTTCGGTGCTTCCCACGTCTCAAAATATCTATTTCATTTTTTACTCAACGAACTTAAAACAGCTAATGTAGATTGAAATTTTTCAGACCTCTTGTAAAACCACTAAAAGGATGAAGTCCATAAATTAAAGGCTCATTGAAATAACTTTATTAAAATTATTTCATCTATTTTTGATTAGCGAAAGCAAATACAGTGATTTCTATTACTCTCCAGCTGGATGTGGCCAGCAAGATCTTATACCTAGGTGTCTATAGCCAGATTTCAATTCCAAGTATCTATAACCACACCACTGTCTATGCCCAGCCAAACTCCAAAGCCAAGTATCTTGGACCACTAAGGTGTGTATGGCTACTTCGGTGTCTATCTATGAACAAACAGCTCTCATAATCAAATATCTATAAACACACAGCTGTGTATAGTCAGTCACCTGTCTTTAGATGAGTAAATTTCATACCCAGGTATGTATGACTCAACTGCTGTTTACGATCACTCACTTATGTATGGACAATCATATCACATACCCAGATATCTATAACCACACAGTTGTCTAGTGGCAGACAAATCTTATGTTTAAGTATCTATGGCCACACAGCTGTCTCTCTCCAGCCACCTAACTCAAATTCTCAAATATCTATGAACACACAGCTGTGTATGGTCAGTCATCTGCCTTTAAACGAACAGGTCTCATATTTAGGTGTCTATGACCACGCTGCTCGTTCTGGCCACTCACCTATATATGGAGAAGCATATCTCATACCTACATATATAAAACCATGCAGTTGTCTTTTGGCTGACAGATTTCAAATACAAGTATCGATGACCACACAGCTATCTATGGCCAGCCAACTCCTTTTAGACAGCCAGATCTCATACTCCGATGTTTATGAAGACGCTGCTGTCTCTGGCCAACCACCCTATATATGAACAACCATTTCTCATACCCACATAACTACAGCCACTCAGCTTTCAATTGACAGGTTGAGCTTATATCCACGTATCTATGGTCAAGCAGGTTCATACATTGAGATTTTTATACTATTCTATTTACTAAGACATGTTCTTTGTTTTAAACTAAGTATGTTTTACACTATTTCAAATATACTTGTGTATATTATTTTTATTTAAAGCAAGCGACTATATTTCGTAGTAATTTCTATGAAATATTCTTTAGAAATTTTTAATTATTAAATAAAATTTTAATCATTGTTTTAAATATTTTAGAATCAAATTGAATTATACTAGAATTGAATAATTTTATATAGCAGTTATACTTATAATATATTTAAATCATACTTTTATAAATTTATACGTTAATTTATTGCTAAAATACTTAAATTAATTACAATTGTTTATATTATTAGTAAAATGTTGTTTTAGTCATACTAATTACAAACAAAAAATTGTATCTTACGGCACAAAACCTAAGTAAATCATATAAAAAAATTAAAAGAAAGTAAGAGATTTAAGTCGATCTACTGCGAAGTGTCCAAAAACTACAAAGTGCAATCCAAAAAATGCCAACAATATTAAAACAACATTACAGCTAGAAAAAAATGCGTGTGAAAGCATTAAGTAAAGTAGATTTCGGAAGAGAGTTGTAGAAAAATATTAGTAAAACTAAATAAAAAGTATTGTTTATATACATAAGTTTAGCGTATGAAAAGAAAGTGCTTTTAGTACTAAGCCTAAATTTTAGGAAGAGAAAAGAATAAAAATAATTATATTAGAAAAATAAAAATTTGTTAGAGAAAAAAATTTTAACTAATTTTATTAGTTGTAGATAGAGTAAGTAAGTTAAGAGAGAAAAGGATTGATGCTTAGTGAAGACACAAACCTTTTTAGGAGAAATTAAGTGTAGTGAAGATGGCGATGGCATAGAACAATCAGAGGATGCAGAACTGCAGTTGCTACTATTTGAGTTGTTTCTGGCAGTGCCAGTGCGAGCACTTCTGCTAGCAGTTGTTGTTGTTTTAAGCAGTAGCTTAGTGCTAGTGCTAGTGCTAGTGCTAGTGCTAGTGCTAGTATCCTTACTGCCAGTTGCAGCGTCAAATTGTGCAGCGCAACGCATGTTAACAAAATTACTTTTAGTTGTGATAGTTGTTGATTTTTTTCTATTAACAGCAGCGGCAACAAAACGGCCAACATATTCTGAACCAATCAGTAGGCCTGGTGCTGCTAATAGACCAACACCACAACTTTTTGCGGTAATATTGGCAACATTTGTTGCGCTCACAACTGCAGTTGCTACATTTTGAGTAGTACTAGTTGCAGATAGATTAATTGTATTATTTACATTATTAGTTGGTGTTGTTGACGATGATGATGTTGTATTGACTGCAGCTGCTGTAGCAAACATGGCGGCGGCGGCAACAGCAGCAGCATTATTGCAAGCCGGTATCAATGTGAGCGGTGTTGCTGGTGTTGCAAAGAATGTTTGTTGTTGCTGTGCTGCTTGTACCTGCTGTTGTGCATGTTGCAGTGTGGTTGTTTGAAATTTTGTTGGTGTTGCTGGTGCAACAGCAGCTGCAGCAGCAGTTACATTATTCACTTGTAATTGCATGTATGTTTGCAACATTTGCAATTGTTGCTGTTGTTGTTGTTGTTGTTGCTGCTGTTGTTGTTGCTGCTGCTGTTGAAATTGGAATTGCTGTTGCAACTGAAATTGTTGCTGCTGCTGTTGCTGCTGATGATGTTGCAGCATTGTTGCTGGAAATGTTTGATATGTTTGCGGCGCCGGTTGCAAATGATGCGCGTGTGTTGCTGGAGCTGCTTGCAACAATTGCATTTGCTGTCGTGAAGTTTTGCTTCGATTATTCTTGTTATATTTTAATTTGTTTTTATTTTTTTTTTTTTGTTTGTACGTATGTTTGATTAATGCAAGTATATAATATATATATATATAAAAATATTTAATTAAAAAAGAATTTTTAAAATTTTCAAAATTTACAAAATCATTTTTATAGTTAATTAAAAAAGTAAAATATAAAGTCAAAAAGTGTGAACAACTTTTATTAGTAAAATGTGCTGTATTAAAAACGATGATTTAAATAAAAAAAGTTATGTTTAAAAAAAATATATTATTAATAATTATTATCGTTATTACTAAGAGATTAAGTGGAAATAGTTAAGTTGAAAAACGAGTACAGGGCTGAGTGTTAAAATACTACGAAAAGTGTTAAGTTTTATTAGATAAAAGTATGAAAATCAGTAAAAGCATTAAAATATGAAAGACAGTAGAGGAGAGGAGAGTTACGTATAAAGTTTAAATATATAAAAAAAAAGATAGCTGAAGATTAGCAAAGTGTTTAAGAAATCGGTACAGAAATGAAGCTTTCAAATTGTGAAAATATAATTAAAGTCGAAAACTGAAATGCAGTAACTTTTTAATAAAAAAAATTATGCTACTGAAATTATTATGGCTACGATATAAATTTTATATAATTTAATAAATATTTTTTTCATTTGGTAAAATTTAGCAAGATTCGAGCTTCTAAACAAAAACTGGTGTTTATCAAAGGCGACGGCTTTTCGGTTTTTAAGATATTTATAAAATTTAATATATAAATTTTTATTTATAAATAAAATATACGATTGAAAAAGTGTTGCCATCGTCAAAAAGAAACACCAACACCACCAAATTACAAATTTTTCTGATCAGTTCTTATTACTTTTTTTTGAATAAATTAAACTTTACTCAAAGAGAGTAAAGACAAAATCTGTTAGATATTTCGTAATGTGTCAAGAATAATTTATGGCATTTGATAAAAGATAGTTGAGATATTTTTAAATACTATTAAAAAGTGACTATAAAATTGACATATATATTATAGCTTAAATAAGCATAGATTTGATATGCAAATTTGTATACTGAAAGTAGCAGAATTAATAATAAGCATTTTTTTTAAAAATTGTCGGCATGAGTTGATAAAAAAATTTACTCAAATTTTTGATTCAAATATATATTTAAAATTTTAGATTATTTGATAAAGAATCACACATTTATGACCATTTGCTCTGTCAATTTTCGTTACTTATCAGAAGACGTCTTATAGTTTTACCTCTACTTTTCGCCTAAGTGAGCCTAAACATTCAGTGAGAATGGTCTCTACTATCTATCTCTATTATTGTATTTATTTGTGTTTACAAATAATTTTATACAAATATTTTAAGAATGGAAATTAACTGAGCTATGAAAAAATGTACTAATACAGTAAGAATTTAGAATTATATATATTATATACGTACAATTGAAGGCTCTAACAATGAAAACCTAGTTTTCAAGACAAAAGTAATATCACAGGAGGAAAAAAACAGCTCTCACTAATGGGTAAGCAGTCCGAATATGCAGATAAGCAGTAGATATCTGACAACAAACGATTACGCATATTCATATAAACGCTGCATGAAGAGATTTTTCGAAAAGTAGTGAACTACAACAACAAAAATTCATTTTATATTATTTCTAATTAATTGAATTTTTGGCTTACCATACAGCTGTTTCGAGTATCGCCCACCATCAATAGTCTTGAAAATAATTCTTGCATTTATTATTCGTAAAAAAATATCATACAAAAATATATATAGCTGTGTTTAATAAATAGTGGATTTATTTTAAATTGAATATTAAATTAATAAATATCAATATCAATTTTAAATCGATTTATCGAAAGTTAAAAGTTATTAAAGATCAAAAACTTTACCAAATTGTATTCTACTCCCAATTTATAAATTAAATGGAACTCTCAGTAAGAATGGCTTCTGGAAAACCAATAAATTTACTTCTTGTTAGAATACTTATCGGGAAAAAAAACTTCTTCGTAAGATACTCTGCTACTAGAGACAACATCGATATTTGCAGAAGAACGACAACAAAATAGTTGTTAATGCAAAGAAGTGGTTGGTGAACTACTAGTTGAACCTATAGTGACACACCAGCTAAGAAGGTAAATATGTTTACAGCTTTTCTGTTGCAAGAGAGTTGAAAAAAAATATTATTATACTAGTTTAGCGCTCAAAGCTTTGCAAACAAAGATTTCGACAAAGATTACACTTATAATTAGCAGATATGGTTCCCACAATGAAATCTTCGTTTGATGCTCTATAAATATTGGGAAAAGCAATCGAAAAATTGAACTTTTATTTGTGAAAAACTGTTAGTTTGATTTTTTATATATGTCTCCAAAATTTTTGCTATTTCTTTTAAAGTATATTTTATTTTGTATATTTATATCTCATATTTTGCATAAGAGAGTAGTATTATCGTTACTTTTACTGCCCTGAAGATTTAATAGAGCAAGAGACTTGATTTATGATTTATTATGAATGCTTACTCTGGAGCAAAAACATATACAACTTAAAAGAGATGAACATATTTTAGCAGTTCGTACCCTAAACTATATTCTAGAAATTATATTCTATATTAATCTGTAGTCGAAGAACTCTTTTCTATATTATGGTGTGATTTTATAATTATTATTATTATTATAATTATTTATTATTTTATAATTATTATACATAAGACTTAGATGTAGCAATAATCAGTGTCGTAGTTATATCCGTACGATATAATAAAATAAAGAATTTGTGACAGAAAACATCTTTTTCTTATGGAACTTAGTACTATGGAAGTTGGTTAAAAAGTTTTTGTAAATTAGGAAGGTTCTTAGTGAGAAATGTACATCACAGTTCTGTAAGTTAACCCTAGGAACTTATAGTAATTATTTTTTATTTCCTTTATAAAGGTTAGTAACACCAAAAATGGTTTTTTTTTTAAATAACTTTTTTTTTATATAAATTTTTTTTAAAATAAATAATTTTTGAAATTAATCTTTTTTAAAATAATTTTTTTTTACAGTCGTAAAATTAATATGTGTGATTAACTTTTAAATATAAATATCAGGTAATTTTTTGGAGATAAAATTTAAAATTATCTAAAATAATATTTATATTATACATAAAAAATTGAGGCCCAATTGGGAAATTTTATAACTGGGAAATTAGAATAAGAGAGCGCTACAGAAAAAATAAATTTTTACAATCAGTCGTTAAATAATAAATTTAAGACTATAAATCACACATTGAACAGAAGTTATGATACGTATCATATTATCGTTCGATGCGAGTAATATTCCTGAAATAGGTAGGAAACTACCCGCGAAACTTTAGACTTTGTACTATAGTATAGTATAGTAAACTCTTGGTGTATAAAAATTGATATATAAGTATTATATATATGATAAATACGTTTGTAATTTTCTAAAAAAAATTAGATAAGATAAAAATTAGATATGACAATTAAAATTAGTTCTTGTTAATTGAATGTATATATAATATTTAATTTTAATAGTTTAATAGTTAATTATTATTTAAAGTTATACCTAAAATTCATGACACATTACAAAATATATGGAAAACACTATAATGCCTTTTAAATTAAATTTTATTATTTCGATTATTTTCTAATCAATTTAATAATTAATTTAAACATTAATTTAATAATTTTATAATTTTGTAAAAAAAAATTTCGAATGCCCGTGATCGAATTATTCATATATAAAAATTTGGAAAGAAGAGTCCTTGGACAGTTGATGGTCAGGTCAGGTCATATGTTACAAGTGTGATTTTGATAAAGAATTATTTAAATTAATTTTTTTTCTTTATTTTTAATTTTTTTTTATTTGTATTGGTTAAAGCATTTAAACGCTGTCTTACCATTATAATTTCTTTAAAAGCAGTTGTTACTTCTTGCACCGTCGTTGCAGTTGCAGTTGAAGTTACTGTTGCAGTTGTAGCTGAGACGGTGGCTACTGTTGCAGTTGCTTTTGCAGGTTTTGTTGTTAACGCGGCAATGATGTGGCTTGTTAGTTATAAATTTTTTAATAAAAATCAATTATTTTTATTTGATGGTTTTTTTAATTGTTTTTGGGAACTTAATTATTCAATGTATATTAGAGAGTTACTTTTGTTGGCTGCTCTTCGCTTGCGATAAATGGCAATTTGGTTGCTGTTCAGTTGATTTGAATTTTTTGCACGTGAAGTAGTTTTTTTTTTTATAAGCAAATTTCAGATTTTTGACGTTTAGTTGCTGTTGCAGTTGCAGTTGCAATTATGCAAATTGTTTGTTTTAAAGTGGCTTTCTCGATAATTTTTCTTTTTTTAAGGGGTTTGTTGATATAGGGTTTAGGGAGATAAACAAACGAACTGATGTTCAAATGATAAATTTTTTAATTTTTTTTTTTTCTATGATTTGGTAATAGTGATTTTTGGCGGTGTTGGTGATATAAATTTTGATATATTTTTTAGTATATCGTTTTATAATAATTTCTCTAACCAATGAAATGCAAATTGTTGCTTTTACAATAACGTTTATGATACACTTAATATAATATTATTAATAACTATTTTATATATAGACAATTAAAACAATTAAATTTTTTTTTATTTTTTAAATTTTTTTTTTTATATTTAATAAAAAGTAATATTTTCAGTGGTTTTTTTTACAGAAAATGATTGTACGAAATATTAAATTTTTCTTTAATTGGTTTATATTAGTAAAAGGTAGGAAATATGAAACTCTTAAGATGCTCTGCCTCAATGATAATATCAAAAGTGTTTAGAGATTGTCAAAAGTTAGTAAATGGTAAGCGTTTTAAATTGTTTATAGATATATTAAAAAATATTTTTGTTTAGTTAAGTGTAGATTTGTTAGATTGTCATAAAATTGTGCAATAGATTTATCACGTAAATCACTAATTATTTTAATATTTATAAAGTAGACACTAAACTATGTGTATCTGTTGCTAATTTCTTGAGAACTACTATTTTATATAATATTGAAGTTAAGTATATGACTAAATTTAAGTAAGAAATATATATATATATATAAGTAAAAATATATTTATATATTGTTATCAGAAAATCACACAAACTAGAAATTGCTATTGAAATATATATCTATAAGTAAATATATGTATATAGATTGTTATCAGAGAATCACACAGACTAGAAGAGTTAATATTGAAATGTATATATGTAAGTAAATATATGTATATAGATTGTTATCAGAAAATCACACAGACTAGAAATTGTTATTGCTGTTTGTTTTGAATATAATATAAGTATAAAGTGTATAAGAATCGATAGCAAATATATAACTTTATTATATTTAATACTTTTCGTGTTGTATATATTGATTTATACGCTATTTTTACTGATTGTCAAAACGCGTTTTCTTGTTTATTTAGTTTAATACAATTTCTATCATACCTAAACTGCTTTCTTAGCTACTAATTTTAATTGATTTTAATTGATGAAAACTATACACTTCTGCTTGCTAACCGCTAAACATTAGAAACGACAATCTTTAAGTTTTTAATAAATTCTTTTTTTTAAATATATGTATATATATATATTTAAGTGTATAATACTTTATGCTTATGTATATAGAAAATATGGAAAATATATATAACAAAATCGTACTGATTGATTGACTGTGTTTTTGGGTTTTTCTGTATTAATTTTGATATGCGGCCCCTAAAACTATGCTTCAATTGACTTCGGTTTTAACTGATATTTGTTTAAATTTTCCTAAATTAATTTTTGTTTTGCTATCAATTTCAAAAACAACCTTTGTTATTTATTTATTTTATTATTTAATTATTATTTTTTTTTTTGCTCTTGTAATTATAATTCATAAAGGACTTCTTCAAATATTAAATAATTCACACACAAAAGACTGTAATCGAGCGTGAGATATGCACAATTAATTTGTACAGTTTTAATTAAAACAATTGCATATTTAATGATATGTTAATTGAAATTATTAATGTTTTACAGAATTTACTTAACGTTTTTTGTTTTGCTTGTAAATATTTGATTTGTGAGTTTATTACTTTGATGATTATACGAACAACCTTTAATTACTGTGAAAATTCAATTATTTTCATTAATAATAATTAATGCCAAATATTTCGAATATTCTGACCTTTAAATAACATTAATAATTTGAATTTCGGTTTTTTGTTTTATTATTACTTAAATTTAAATTAATTCAAAAATTTATTTCAACAATAATGATTTCTTTGTCTTTACATAAAATTTATAAATATAAATACTTTTATCTTTAATCTTTATCTTTATCTTTATCTATATCTTTCAACAATTTCTGCCACTTTTACTTTACTTCTACTCCTACTGTGTAAATATTTTTGTTATTTTGTAAATAATTTATCTTAATTTTATACTTCAATTTCAATTAATACTGCTTGGCTTAGGTTTCCTGTTTATATTAATTGGTCAAATTTTTGTTGACAGAGTTTTGCAGAAACTTTCAAGATTGATTTGTTTTTGCCTTTCGTAGTGGTAGATATTTTAGTTAAGTGCAGAAATAAGTTTGAAATATATACGTTGGTTTATACTTCAGAGTAGAAAAAAAGAGTTATAAGTGAAGTAACAATTTGCAGTGTACTCAGATTCAGATTATTAAATGTGTTTTTAATGGCGGATTAATGAAAGGACTGATTTGTCAAGGAATAAGAAAGAAAACACCACCAGTTTAGTTTTCAACGAGACTTGCAGAACTATTAAGATAAAATATATATATATAATTTTTTTTCAATATAAAAAAATTATTTTTCAAAAAAGAAAATCAGAAAAAATTTGTAATAAGCAAAAAAATATTAAAAAATTATATATAAAATGTTCAAGAAAAACTGAATTGTGGCGTTAAAAAAAAATTTTTCTTGAGCCTTGAAGTACTTAGTTGTTAAAATATGAAGATTTTTTCAACCTTATCATTATGCGCTCTTAAAATAAAATATTTTATTTTCAAGTTTTATTTCTTTTGCATTTTTTATAAATTTTTTATTTATATTTTTATGAATTTTTTTTTTTATAAATTTTTTTTTTACAATTTTTTATTTCTGTTTATATTTTACAAAGCCTTTTTTATAGTTTTTAAAATTAGTTTAATTTTCTTTTTTTTTTTTGTTAAAAATATTTTTCAATATTTGCTTATTTTTATTAAATTACAAATTTTGTAAATTACTTTTAATTTCTATTTAAGTAATTTCTCGTAATAATGACAATTTGTGTCTGTATATAGAATTCATAGTAAAGAAAATTATTTATAATTCCTTTTTAATTTATTGAATTATTTTTTTTATTGCTTTGCTTTAATTTGAGTTAATTTTTTTTTAATTTATTAATTTATTTTTATTTTTTTCTGAAGCCTGAATTAAGTATATCACTAAAAATGCAGCTACTGATAATTGACAAATAAACATATTTTAATTTTACTTTGAAGTCAACATTATTTTATTTGAAGATGGTTTGGATCAAATTAATCTGACTGTCTGTAAGCCACCAAATGAAGCTAAGCCTTCGTAAAGATTTTTAAAAGGCGTCATACCTCTTCGTAGGTTTATAGAAAGATTTATGTACGTTGTCAGTAAACACTGGCCCCTAACGATAAAGGATTGAGCAACAATGTATATGTATATTAAACATCATATAGGATTTTAAAGAGTTATTGCAAATCAAAACTTACTTAATATTTTTAAAAGAATTTTTTTAATATTATCATTCGATAGTTTTAACCGAATTTGATTTTAGAAACTGCTTGTTTTAGTTCCAACACACACTCACTATATTATCAGAGAGGTCTTTCAAATATATAAGTCGAATAAAAATTTTATTAGTATCTATTTAATATCATATTTAAATAAAGAAGATATCAAACTAAATTAGTTTGCAGCCTTGTGTACCAAAGCTGATCCGTGAGGGATACCGTCCGTAAATCAGACTTAAGATACCACCTTAAAAGTAGAGCTCTCAAATATCTAGGATATTAAAGGTATATCTTTGAGAAGGGGCAAAGCAAAAGAGAAAAAACTTAGTTATAGGAATTTTAATTATTTTTAATTTTTTGGATTAAGCAGGCCGGTGTTACGGATAACACGAAATATCCATTATCAGTGGGTAATGGATAGTTAGTGGATAATGAAAAAATTTTAAAAGTATTTATTGGGCTTAGTTTACAGACATTCTAAAAAGACTGCATAAAATTATTCATTTTAAAAATAATTTTATCTGACATATTGCTAAAATATTTTTGAGTTTTTACTTTAGCGACGGTATATGAAACAATAAATCGGGAAGAATGTAAATGCAATTTTTCTTCAACATGAGCTTTCCCTAATAAAAACGAATAGTTGAAAATATTTGTACAGCATTAAGTGTACGTTTAATATATAATACTGGTAGCATGATATAACCTTATAATATAGAAATCTAAAATATATCGCAAGCAGCATAATATTGTATATATAAAACTCTTATGTTACAAATTCGTAAAGACCCGAATAAAAAAACTATTGCCAAATAACAAAATACGAAATCATTAAGTATTATATTAAGTTAATTAGTTAAGATCTGTCAGAAAAGTGAAGTTTTCTTAACCTTAGACCTTAAAGTAACTAACAAACAAAGAAGCCTATTAAAGCCATTTTAATAGCTAAACAGTAGGATTTAAAAATATTTTAAGCCGACGGCTTAAGCAGCCAATTCCGGGAATTGAAATTAATTTGGCATTTATTGTTGGCATTTTTGAATTCTATCTGGAACTGAAATTTCTTAATAGAAACTTAAGTCACATAGACAGAACTTAAATAGGAATAATTTATTAAATTCATGATAAATATAATTCTTAAAAGTCACTGAAAATATAGACTTTTAATATATTGACTTAGATATGGAATTAGAAAAGAAGGATGTTATTTTTGTATAACCAAAACTGCAAACTTTATTTCTTATATTTGATTATTTTAATTTAATTAATTTTATATATGCCTTTGGTGG